TGTCTTTTGGGGTGGCGAGAAAGGTTCTATTCTTTGAATTGGAAAGATAGGCAAGTCTGACAACAACTCAATCAACAATGTGCACTATGTGGAAGGGCTCAAGTACAATATTTTAAGTATATCTCAGATGTGTGACATAGGAGATGAAGTCAAATTCATGGAAGACAAGTGTTTTGTGACAAATTGTGTAACCGGGAAGGTGGTAATATCTTCTAAAAGAGTAAGAAGTATGTATGTGGCTGATCTAGAATCCATAGAAGGAGATAATCTCTCTTGTCGAAGTGCTCAAATAGATGAATCTGACCTGTAACACAGATGTCTTGGTCATGTAAGTTCTACTCTCCTAAATAAATTTGTGGCAGGGAACGTAGTCCACGGACTACCTAAAGTGAAGTTTATAAGCGGTATATTTTGTAATGCATGCGCAAAGGGCAAATAGACAAAGTTATCATTCAAGGCCAAGAAAGAAGTTAGTACATCAAGACCACTTGAATTGCTTCATATGGACTTGTGTGGTCCAATCAGAGTGCTTAGCAGAGGAGGAAAGAAATCCATTCTTGTTGTGGTTGATGATTTTTCAAGATACACTTGGGTAAAGTTCCTGAGAACAAAAGATGAGACAACTGAGGAACTGATGGTTTTCTTCAAATTCAATCAAATTTAAATTGCAAGATTGGTAGCATAATATCTGATGATGTCACTGAATTTAAAAATGCTCAGATTCAATGTTACTATGGTGAACATGGAATAAGTCACAATTTCTCAGCACCAGGACTCCCCAACAAAATGGCGTAGTGGAGAAAAAGAATCAAAGACTGGTGGAGATTGCAATAATTATGCTGATTAACTCTAAACTTGCTATGAGTTTCTGGGCTGAGTCTGTCAATGCTGCTTGTTATGTGCTTAACAAATGTGTTATCAAGTCTCTTATCAAGAAAACTCCTTATGAGTTAATCAATGATAAGAAACCTTCAATAGCTCACCTAAAGCCATTTGGTTGCAATTATTTTGTTTTGAACAATGTGAAGGATGATCTCGGAATATTTGATGCCAGAAGTGATGAAGGTGTGTTCCTAGGCTATTTGTTGTCAAGCAAAGCATATCGAGTGTTCAATAAGAGAACAAAATGCGTGGAAGAAAGTGTACATGTCAAATTTTATGAAGGAAGAACAAAGGATAAAAAATGGGATAAAGATGAGCTGGAAGAGTTTACTACAGATAGAAAAATCATTCAAGAAAGTGAAGAACCTCAGGATGAATCAACTGACGGACCTGATCCTCTGAACAGTTATAAAGACACTTGACCTCATGATTCTAATAACAGTGAAGAGGATCTTGATGCAGATGAGTAGAAGAGACTACTATAAAGTCTGGGTGAAAACATCAATCTTCACATCCACTAGACAATCTGATATATCATTTAGAGTCCAAAATTCAAACAAGATCAAAGGCACACAATCTTGTGTCATTATCAGCATTCATGTCTCTAATAGAACCCAAGAACATCAAGAAAACGTTGAAAGATCCTGACTTGGTAGTCTCCATTCAAGAAGAGCTTCACCAATTTGAGCAAAGTAAAGTGTGGCACCTGGGCCCCCGACCAGTTGATAGAACTATAATAGGCATTCGCTGGGTGTTTAGAAATAAACAGGATGAAAATGGAACCGTTGTTAGAAATAAATCAAGACTGGTGGTGCAAGGGTATAATCAAGAGAAAGGAATTGATTATGAAGAAACATTTGCATCTATTGCTCGAATCGAGACTATCAGAATATTAATTGCTTTTGCTGCACACAAGGAATTCAAATTATTTCAAATGGATGTGAAAAGTGCGTTTCTAAATAGAAACCTGAAGGAGGAGGTGTATGTAAAACAACATCCAGGATTTGAAGATTCAGAATTGCCTGATCATGTGATGGAACTGCATAAGGCATTGTATGGGTTGAAACAAGCTCCTCGAGCTTGGTATGAGAGCTATCAAGGTTTCTGTTGACTAATGAGTTTGTCAGGGGAAAATTAGATAACACCTTGTTTCTAAAAACTAAAGGTGAATATCTATTGATTTTGCATGTGTATGTTGATGACATAATTTTTGGAGCAACTTCAGATGAATTATACAAGGAGTTTGCTGAGTTGATGAGCAATGAGTTGGAGATGAGAAAAATGAGGGAGCTTACATTATTCCTAGGTCTGCAATTCAAATAGTCCTCACAAGGTACCTCAATATGTCAAGAAAAAATACATCAAGGAAATGCTCAACAAGTACAAAATGCTGGATGCAAAGGTTCTGGACACTCCAATGAGCACAAGTGCAAGGATTGACAAAGATGAAGCTAGCCAAGAGGTCAATAAATCATTGGATCACTTCTATATTTGACAGATAGCAGACCTAACATTGTGTTCAGTGTAGGGATGTGTGCTAGATTCTAAGTTGCAACAAAGGAATCACATCGGAAAGCTGCTAAAAGGATCTTGCGATATCTGAAGGGCACGCAGGACCTGGTCCTCTTCTATCCTGTAGGTGACCTTTTGAACTTATAGATTTTACAGATGTTGATTATGCAGGATTTCTAGAAGACAGAAAAAGTACATCTGGAATGACACATTTCTTCGAAGCAGCTTTGGTCTCCTGGGGAACGAAGAAATAAAACTCAGTGGCCTTATCTACGGCAGAAGCTGAGTATGTTGCTGCTGCTATCTGTTGTGCTCAACTTCATTTGATCAAGCAACAACTGAAGGATTTTGAAGTTCTAGCAACAACAATTCCTCTGATGTGTGATAATATGAGTGCATTAAATATGGCAAAAAAATCCGGTGCAACACAAAAGAACCAAGGACATTGATGTGAGGCATCACTTTTTGTAGGATAATGTAGAAAAGATGAATGTGGTGATGAGTTTTTGCAGTACTAAAGATCAAGTGGTAGACATTTTCACTAAGTCATTGAGTCTTCCTTAAGAATAGATTGAAACTTGGAATGATCAAGCTCATGTAGCTCTTGAGCAATGTTTCTTTGAGAACCCTAAATTGACTATGTTGAGGGGAACATGTATTCATGTTATAATTAAATTCAAGTACTTTAAGATTCACACACTGTACCTTACTACAGGTTTATACTAGAAAATGAGTACCTGAAGAGATGATCTCAATTGTACAAAATTGTAGCAAACAAAGCATAAGAGGGACCTGGTCCCTCATAAGGTTAGTATCATTAAATACTACTATACTGATAACTGTCTGCATCATTGCCATGTGTCCTTGTCCGGTTCGTCGTGTCCTCTTCAAACATCTTGTTTTTAAATTCAAAAAGTGATTACTGTTGAGGACTAGATATCATTTTTTTCTGAATATCTCTTTCTTTTTCTAAACACAAATCACAAAATCTTTCTGTAATCTTGCTTTCTGACTATTTTTCTCTAAAGATTTATCTTTTTTAACTTCAACCTCTAAAATGTCTAAGTCAAATTCTTCATCTCATGATCTTATCTCCCCAGAAATTGAAAAACCTAGTTTATTCAATTTCTCAATTCCTCATCGAGAAGGGTCATCATCAACCCCTATGTGTGGAGATGGGACACAAACTTGTACTGTATCTCCCTTAAATCCAGCCAAAGGAGGATCTGCACTACCTAGACTGGACAGAGCACCGTGTTCTCCTACATTGGTTTTGTCTGAGGGAATGTCAGTCATTTGAAACGCAATCTGTGGCTAATCCAAGTTCAAAACTGGGTTCTGAAGAAATTGATAGTGCATCCATGGCACTGTCATCCTCGATGTTAGAAAGACTGTTTGAAGGTAAATCTGCCGTAAGGAAAGGTGCCAAAATTTTGTATTCTGACCGCTGGAGCAAAACTGGTTGCTATACAGAGTCTAGCGTCACTTAGAGACGAGTCTCATCCTTCATTATTATACGAGGAGTTCAGGTCCCCAGAATAATAATCATCTAAGGGACAACCCATATTTGATCATACTCCCAAATCATTTGATATGAATTCTGAAGAGGAGGTAGATGAGGAAGAAACATCTCTCAGATGGAAAAGACAAGGAGAGGCAGTAATCTTCCTTTTGTCGTAGAAGTTGATCAAATATCTGATGATATGTTATAGACTCAAGTAGATAGTATTGAAGAACGAAAACGAAAAGGGAAGGGGAAATTGGTTCAGTCTGATAAGGAAAAAGGTAAAAGAAAATATGTTACTAGAAGTGCCACACAAAAGGTACTTGGAAGTGCTATGGTGACAAATGCTATACAGACTCAAAGAAGGAGGCAACAACGAAGTCAAGGGTTGACTCAAGAGGAACCTGCTGTTGACCCGCTCCCCATTGAGGAAAGCAACTCCATCAAAGGGTGGTTCAAAGTTTGTAGCAAAGCGAAGGAAAGGGTTGGGAGACAAAAAAGTGAAGAAGAAGGATGAGAGTAAAAAGGGTTCAGGGTAAAAGTTGAAAGACAAAACCTGTCAAAAGAAGAAAGGGTGGAAAACATGAAGTTACAAAAGGTGCTGAATGGTCGTGTGTTCGCGCAAGACATTCTAACGGTGCATGGAACGGGAGCCCTTGTTGATGTTTTGGCAATACAGGATTGAGGACATTTTTTTGAACCCCCTGTTTCCTCCCTCCATGAACCAGAAGTACGTGAGTTATATTACAACATGAACTGTTGCCACCCAAATTTTGACCATCGATAATATGAATTAATTAGCGAGCTTCCTAATTCCAAATGATTTGAAATAATTAGATTCATAAAGTTAAAAGGTTTTTCAAGCTTTTTAAAATTAAATATCGCCTTTCTCATAATTCTTAGATATTATACATGTTTTAAAAAATATGAATATAATTAGTATACTTTATGATTATTCAAAAGTCGTCTTAAAAGATTTTAGTTTTACTTAAATATTTGGTTAATTAGCTTGATTATACGATAATTTATATTTTTTTATCGTTTAGTTCATACTTGAGTGAATTATTTTATTTTGATAAAATTAAGAAGCTTATTAATTAATTTATATTAATTCATCTTATTACTTAGTATCCAAAACTCTTTCAACACTTCACAAGAAGTTAATTTTGGGCCTTTTCTTTCCAGCAGTATCCAGGCCAATTCATTACTTCGTGCACCATTTTCCCTTCCTTACCAATTCAACCCGTCCAAGCCCAATTAGTTTGACCCGACCCGACTTTAGCCCCCTTTCCCTTTCAACAAAAGACGTAGAACATATAGTAACCAGACAAAAACAACAATTCCCAGCGGCGCGCGTCGAATCAATGAACCAGCGCGCACAATAGTACATCATCTCCTTTTGTCTTCTTCCTCCCATCACTTTCACGCGTCTTCACGAGACGACATTGAAGAACGATGATTCTTAACGGCGTCACCTCCAACGTTCTCCTACACGACGTGAACACGGAATATATGAAGAGTAGAAGACAACTTGTCCCTTTATCATTTCCTTCTCCGTCCCTTTCCATGTAGTACGACTTTCAGCAGCTCCCAGAGCACGCTAATCGTCCTTGGTGGTGTGAGATTGTTCCACGTCAACACCAAGGACGATGGAGATAATCAAAGCCATCGATGCAACATTTCCTCTTTCAAAATGGGGTAGAATTTCAGGGAAAAAGCAAGTCTCCCTATTTGGTGAAAAAGTTTTGAATTTTGAAATTTTAGGGATGTGAATTCTCGTGCTTACCCCTGCCCTGTCCCGTTCTCCCCCTCTATATAAGTTGTTTCTCTTTTGTTTAGAGGGGAGAGAGAGGTTTTTTTCTTAAAGTAATATCTTGAGTCAAAAATACATATTGGAGAATTACTGAAAATATAGAAAGAAAATAGACACAAGATACAGAGCATATGTTGAAAAAACATACTCAAATTTTAATTCCAATAGAACAAAAAATCATGTGAGAATCTTGGTTACCATCTTGAAAACTAATCTTCCACTCATGTTCAAGTTTCATGGTCGTGGAATCGCTTTTGACTCGCTGCTGTTCTTGTTCGCTGCCCTAGAAAGGTCAACTCCCTCTTCTAAATTTAGCTCGTTTAAAATGTTAGATTGTTTCCTGTTGAATCTGCCTTTGAAGTATTTTGTTTATAAATTGTTACTGCCTCTGTTTACTCTCCAATGTTCTAGCTGAAATGTTGTTTAGTCTCTTAATTGCCATGCTTAAGTTTGTATTCATGTTTATCACTGGTTTCTTCTCAATTTTTTTCCTTCTGTTGAACTTTATTGCTTTTGATTTAATCCTCTGAAGCTCATTTTAGTTGCCTTTTGTTCATCTCATGCGTATACATTTATATTCATGTTATATGTTAGAGTTTTCTTGCACTTGACAAATTTCTGTGACCCATATTTTGTTTCCTCCACAGGTTTGCCTAGTTTATATTTATTTTTTTATCTGCTTTTGAAGCGATTTTTGGTTTTTTCTTGTTTAGTTAAAACGAATCGTCTAAATATCATCTCGCCTACTGTTTTATGACTCTATCTAACGTCTATGAAAGTGTGTTTTGAATGAGTATTTTTCATGTTAGCTCTTCATGGAGGTTTGTCTTTTTCGTTTTCCTTTTGCTAGGGCGAGTCTATCCTTGTTCATCTCTATCTTATATCGTCACCAAATCATACCAAGATTAATTTCTTAATGATTATTCCCTTTTAGTTTGAGTTGCTTATATTTGGGTACTTTTTATGTCATTCTGATTCGATTTTCCTCTTACTGTTTGGTTTATAGTACTTTAAATTTATGTTTTTTTCTTTGGTACAGACAAGGCATCAGATCCATGCATACCATTTTTAGCAAGAATGGGATTGAAGGGGGCAAGAATATCAGCAAAGGGAGCAAGAATTTCAGAAAAAAGAGCAATTATTTCAGCAAAAGGAGCAAGAGTACCAGTTCTAAGAGTTAGAAAGTCAGAGGGTTTTAGCTGTGACGTCACAAGAGTTAGCCGATGCAAGGACTTGTATGATGTATTTGGATGCAATCGTGAACGAGCATATGAACACTTTGCAAGTCGTAATACCAGCTTCCAAAGCTGTGTTCGCTGAGCCGTACGTGTTCACAAGCAAGTGCATCATCCACGATGAAGTAGAGAAGGCCAGAAGAGGAGCCAAGCCATCATTCACATCATATCCCCCTCCCTGAAATGTACCCCGTTTGATTGAAATTATGTAATAAATGCTATGATTTTAGTGATGTCTATTTTGGGGATACATCTATTTGTTAAATGACACAATACGTCCTTCAGATCGCTAGGCCTACCCTTGGCACAAAGGGTCACATGCATGATTAGGACGCGATGTGTGTGTGTTTAACTGCTTATGTGTTATGTTGCTATGAATGAGGATATCGTAAACCCTCTCCTATCAAAAAATCTCCATAAGAAATATACAGAAGTCACTATCACAAATATTCGACAAAAACTATCTGGTCTTAAGTTTCTTACTCAAAAGACAAATATTATCTCTAAATCCTAAAACACTATTCTACTATCTCAGAAAAGTTAAAAATCACTGCTATGGACAAGGATAAGAACATCCAGATGTAAATAACTAGAGAAGAAATACAAAGAAAGATCGAACAGATCAATCGGGAAATTCTTGAAGCCAAAGAGGAAGGACTCAGGTTTGATATGGCAACCGCAATCTAGAAAGCTGCAACCGTGACGCTGGATGAGGATCTGGCATCACATATGAAGAGAAAGGAAGAGTTTGAGATAGAGACAGAGGACTTGCAGGAGAAGTTGGACATGCTTCGATTGAAAGTGCAAGAAAGAGAAGCGAGAGAGGCGAGGATAGAATCAGAGACTGCCACTCTGTTAGATAAAAGCATGTCTCTTGATAAGGAGCTGACGGTGGAAATGGAAGAATTCTCCTCCATGAGAGAAAGCATGGCTAAACCGAGGAAGAAGAACAATGTCTTCCATAGCAACATGATTGATAAACTTCAGAAAATGCGCGAAAAATACCCTGTCTACGAGCAAGGAGCTAATGGTGGTCCAAATAACGCTCACCCTGGAGCGACTGGGGAAGACGACAATGAGGAAATCGTCTACAAACCTCCATTCCTATGCCGTCTGAAAGGAGGAGACTAATGCTGCAACAAGAAGGAAAATGACTAACGTTTCTTCTTCATTTTATCTTTAAAAAGCTCTATTGTTGCCATTCAATTTCCTTGTAATCATAATGAAAGAATGAATGAAACTGTTTTATCTTATAATCGAACTACGTTGGGCCTGAATTCTCCTTGTGAGTTACGTAGGCAACCTTTCCAGGTCCGACCCCTATCATTAAAAATTTCCATTCTCCCCTTTTATGTTGCCAGAAGATACGAAGGCCAGATCAATGGACGCCAAAGGGCAGCTACAAGAAGTCTTTAGCTCAACGTAATTTAGCATTTCTGAGAGAGTGTCAAAATTAAAACAAGCAACTCCTGCTTGTTAAAAAATGCATTTCCGTCCTTACTCATAAGTTGAAGATATCCTCAAACAAAGCAATTTGTGTGTTTATCTGCTCTCTGTGTGATATTATGCATTTTGTATTCTGAATTTGCACTAACAAATCTGCCTTTGAGTTGTTTTCTTTCTCAGGTACTTTGAAACTGATCTGTGTCGATCAAAAGCTGGAAAATTATCCCTATTTCACTAGATCGAAAGGTCCCACAGATTCCTTCCCTAAACGAGATTCAAACAAAGGAAAGACAGTTATGGGGGATAGTAATGAAGAAGTAAGTCTTACTGATATCGTGGTGGATCAACCCACCGTAGAGGACCAGAATGAGTTGATTCTGCAGCTGATGCAACATATTGCAGAGATGAGGATAGAAATGCAAAGGAGACAAGATCTACCTCCACCAAGATTGGCTGCTAACGCTGCTGATGGGAGACCTCCAATCTACTTCCCTACCTCAAATATGGATCCAGCCCAGAACCAGTCATCTACACATGCTCAGAATCCATCAGTCATAGATCAAACTACCCAAAATCCCCAATATGCTTCCGCATCCTACCAAACTCAAACTCCTCCTCAACACAACCACTCCCAAATGCCACCCCATTCTCAAAATACCCGCCATCAAACCGCTCCACCACCGCAAAATCAAAACCAAAAGACTTTAATCCCCAAACACCCCACCACCACTTAAATCAGAATACCAATCCTCAGACTTATCCACAGAATTATCAGACCGCTCAAAATGCCTAGAGTCCCTCTGTAGCACCACCTTTACCTAAAAGAACCACTTTCCAAATTTCCATCTCTGTCGAGCAGGATGTGCGCGGTTCTGAGATGGATGATTATGAGGAACAGACAAAGGATTGGAGAGCAAAGAAAGAGGCAAACGTCAACATAAAAAAGGAGATCAAAAAATCCATGAAAGATCTCCAATGCGTCCCTGATATCGCCGGGCTTAATTATGAAGACTTATGTATTCATCCAAATTTGGACCTTCCAGAAGGGTTCAAGATCCCAAAGTTTGACACGTTCGGAGGAGTGGGCAACCCATGACTCATTTGAGAGCCTATTGCGACCAGCTCGTTGGAGTTGGTAGGGATGAAGCTCTATTGATGCGGCTCTTTAGCCAAAGCCTGTGTGGAGAATCTCTCGAATGGTTCACCTCGCTTGAAACAAGGCAATGACCCAGTTGGAATGCATTGGCAAAGGATTTTATCGATCGATTTGCTTACAATATAGAAATTGTTCCAGATCCATACTCTTTGGAAAAGATAAAGCAAAAATCAACTGAGAGCTATAGGGAGTTTGCTTATATGTGGAGAAAAGAAGCGGTGAGGGTGAGACTTCCCATGTATGAAAAGGAAATTGTAGAAGTGTTTGTGCCGGTGCAAGAGCCCGAGTATTATGATTGAATCCTGTTGCTAGTAGGAGAAAAATTTACCGAGATAGTCAAAGTTGGTGAGACTATCGAAGATGGGTTAAAAACTGGAAAGATATTCCGTGTTACTGCATCACCTGTATCATCAGGAACGTTGAAGAAGAAAAGAGAAGAAATTGTTGTTGTTTCATATAGGGGAAAGAAAACCCCCCAGAAGCTCCTCATATTCCCAAGGTCGTTCTTGGCCTTCCCAAAATTCCTACCAAGCTTGCTACAGGCAAGCTAGTCATCCCAATAATTCTCAAATTTAACAGAATGCTACCTCCACTTATCCAAACGTCCAAGCTCCACATTACCAAAGTCCACCCCTGAATTACGAAAATCCATCTCCCATTTACCCAAATCATCCTCCACCCTACCAAATTCCATCTCCCTACCAGGGTGTTGCTCCCAACTGTGCTAACATGCAGTCGAGCTACCGAGCACCTCCTCCTGCGTATCAAGTCCAAGCTCCAGCATATCAAATTCCCCACCCAAACTACCATGCTCCAATGCCAAACTACTAGACAAACTCATATCCCATAAATAAAGCTCCCCGTCCGAACAATTGAGGTTATCAACAGATGCCTCCCCCACAAGGAAGTTATGTTTCCCCTTGACCTCGGTTCGAGAAGAGACCTTTGAGGAATTTCACCGTGCTCGCAAAAAGCCGAACAAAGTTGTATGAGCGACTGGCTGCGGCCGTATATATCCACCTAGTGGTTCCCAAACCGGTGGATATCAATTCGAAATTCTATAGGTAACCTAAAGAACAAGATTTAGGGTTTAATCGACCAAGTGGTGGTTTCTCTCCAACCAGCTGCACCTAATGTCAATACCCATCCTTTGCCGAATCATGGAGGTGGCAACGTAAGTATGATAGAAACAGACGATGATTGGTGTGGGACGAAAGTAATAACTCCAATCGTTCATGACGAGTTGGAAAAGGCTGTAGCTTCCTTGAGCATCAAAGAAAAAAAGAGTTCGTTATCTTGACACCCGCAAAGGCTGTTGCCTTGGTGCCACCAAAAACTCTTATCAAGCCAAAATTTGTGATTGAGACTGTTGTTGCACAAGCTATGACCCGATCTGGAAGATTTTATACTCCTGAGGAGCTTGGTCTCGGAGGTCAAATGAAGGATCAATCTAAAAGGCCAATAAGAGGGTGAGGCAAAGGAATTTTGGAGAAGAAAGCTCTCGATGATATGTATGTCCCCGCGGGCACAAGCAGCGATAATGTGGCCACTATGATCCACCAGGTCATTCGAGGGCATCGAATCAACTTTTGCAACAATGAGTTGCCTTTTGAGGGGAGGTTCCACATCAAAGAACTGCATATCACTATTGTCTGGCGAAAAGGTTGTCAATCGTGTCTTAGTAAATGGTGGATCTGGTCTGAACATCTTCCCGTTGTCGACGATAAGGCAGTTGAAGTTTGACTTAGGAAAACATGAGAAAAATGATGTCAACATGAGAGCCATTGATGGGGTTAAAAGAGACACCTTGGTAGCCGTAAATTTTGTTATCCAATTAGGCCCCACTGAGTTTAGCGCACAGTTTTAAGTATAGGTTATCGATACCAGCTATAACCTTCTTATGGGAAGGCCTTTCATCCATATGGCTGGAGCTGTCCCTTCTACTTTGCATCAGATGTTGAAACTCGTTTGGAAGAACGAAGAGATGGTTATTCATGGTGAAGGGAGTCACTCTGGCAGAGAGGCGTCAATCATTGATGAAGTATCACGAGGTACAAATTTTTACGCGGTGGAGCTGGTAAATGCCACCGGTGAAGACTTGGCCCCACAGACTCTCATGCCTGCCATGTTTAAGATAATAGCCACTGTGATGCTGTAGAGTGGTTTTGAACCAGGTTTCAAATTGGGAAGAAATTCCCAAGGAACTATTGAGCCTATTCTGGTCCTTGTCAAAGGATCCAGATATGGTTTTGCGTACGTCCCCATAGATGATGATAAGAAGACGAAGAAGAAGAATGATCAAGCATTTGCTAAGCCGATCCGACATCTGTATCAATCATTCCCAGTCCGGGAGTATGCCGAGCATGAAGACCTTTATGAAAAGAATCTGTCATTGAAGAAGAGGTCAAGCTGACAGGATTCCGTGATGCTGAGCCAGGAGAGATGCTGCGGATCTGGACCTCTACACCCATCTGATACCCCAAACTCCTTGGTAGAAGGGCATTGTTTTATGCATATTTAAATCATGGTAGTCTGAAAGAGGCCCGAGACCCACCATTTTGCATTTTTCTTAACTGTATGAATTTTTGAGTTTCCATCGTGATGTTCAAAGAAGGCAACATGGACCTATGCCATGGCCAAAGTTTGCATTGTTTTCACGATATTAATGAAAGCCTCGTTTAT